TGGAAAGATTAGATGAAAAGAGCTTTTTGTTCTCCTGCACTCCGACTGACGGCCAAGTAACTCATCTCTGCTGACACTCTTAAATCCGAATTTTTGTCAAGTCAGCCTTTACTATCGTTAGTCTGAGCAACTATTCAGTGAAATATATAGTCCAAACTGTGTCACATCATCGGTTCAGCTCGCCCCTCCTTCTAGCCCGCAGTACTCGGTCTCGATAGTACTCCTGTAACCAGGAGAGATATATCATCACTACCCGGAATGTACTCGTGTATACGCCATTTCCGCTCCCAAGGGTGGCCGCCTTCGAGTCAAAGCTGCCACTCGTCTGGAGACCGTCGGCCGGCATCGCTGTGCAGTCGTTCCACGCAGGGCCAGACTCCACTTCTGCCATATCGCGACACCTAGCGGCCAGTCGCCGGGCTGAACGGCAAGGAATATTATCCATCAACGTCGCCAGCAGTCCTGGATCTGCGCCAAACGTGGCCAAATGCTCGCGCAGTTGACTGCCAAACTCTGTCTCAAGGGTTTCACCCTGGAAACCAGTGAGTCCAAGTCCAGTGTAGCTAGAGCTGTCTGCTTGCCAGATCCCAGCGTCCTCTGCGGAGTCCAGACTGCGATGCGAGACCTGAGGAGGGGGCTCATTACGGCCCGGATCCCAGTCCTCTGCTCTCAGACCAACATGTCCGGCCAAAGGGTCGAAATGGCGCTTCGCTGCTGCCATCTGTTGAGGATGTCGGCTGGCAAACTCGAGTAGACGATGAATGAACGGAGACTGGCTTTGCTTACGAGTTTCGGCTGATTCAGTGAGTAAATAGACGTTGTCCTCATTATCTAACCATATTGTAAACATGATGACAGCAACATACATACATACATACATACATACATACATACATACATACATACATACATACATACATACATACATAAATATCATATATACATACATACATACATACATACATACATACATACATACATACATACATACATACATACATACATAAATACATACATACATGCATGATGCATACATACATACATACATACATACATACATACATACATACATACATACATACATACATACATAATGCATACATACATACATACATACATACATACATACATACATACATACATACATACATACATACATACATGCATACATAAATACAAACATACGTGAATACACGCAAAGACACATACATACATGCATATATTTATGTATTCATGCATACGCGCATATGTACATATATACATGCATACATACATACATACATAAATGCATAAACATATTCATTCATATATATGTGTACAAGCATGCATACATAACACATTTATGCATTCGCATACACATATAAGTTGTACATTCACATCGGATCAGTCTCATTGTTTGCCCCGAGCACCTTGTGCAAGTGAATCAAGTGTAAATGCGCAAGCGGTGAATGCGTTTAATGGGAAAATGCAATGAAGGCAATGCAGTTGTCCAGAAAGGTGAATTACGCCGAATAAAAAACGCCAGATTGGAGTACATTTCCAAGGTAAGCAGTGCAATTTTTACAGATATATAAGAACATATACCATTTATTTTTGTGATAAAGGTCACCAAGGAGGAGTGATGTAAAGGAAGACAGGGTAGATGAGGGTTGATATGGGAGGGTTGTCGGGATAAAAGTATCATAGAAGGAAACAAGCAAATATGGGAGCAAAATGGATATCAGACAGACAACAGAACAATGGTGAGCATACGAGTAAGCAATAGGCAAACAATAGATAGAAATGACATTTAGTCAATAGGCACTGGCTATAAGCAGATACCTTGACAAATATTGATGATATATAAATAGATTATGAATACATGACAATTAAGAACAACATCAAAGCTGTATGAAAACAAGAGAGATAGGCTCATTCAGAGCTGAGATTAAATCCTAATCGCATTATCGAGCTTAGGCATGACCACCTAAATATGCTACTTTGAAGGGAATTTACTACCTTTTTGCATGTAAGTAGCATATAACGTAAC